CGGAAGAAATCAAGCGAAGGATAGTAATGGCAAACAGACGCTATTTTTGGACTGAGTAGTAGAAACATATGAGAAGTAGAAACTTAAGCCAAAAAACAAAAATAACTATATACAAAACCCTTATACAGCCAGTGTTGACATATGGATCGGAGACGTGGACCATCTCCAAGGCAGACGAAAACCTTTTGCTTATATTTGAACGAAGGATCCTGAGAGGAATATTTGGTGGCATCTGTGAAAATGGTGTTTGGAGGAGGAGATACAACAACGAGGTATACCACAGATATAAACAAATATTTGGTGGTAAAGACGTAGTATCTCTTATAAGAATAGGAAGATTAAGATGGGCAGGACATATCACAGCAGAACAACCCTCCTAGAAGATTCCTTATGTCACAACCCGTGGGAAGCAGAAAAAGGGGTAGGCCAAAACTCAGATGGAAGGATGGTGTAGATGAGGATGGTAGCAAGATAGGCGCAGCAAACTGGCAACGGTTGGCAGTGGATAGGACTTTCTGGCGTAATAGACTTGGAAAGGTCGAGGCTCTTTCATAGGGCTGTAGCACCATTGATGATGAATCCATAGAAGTAGTGGACAATCAATCCAGACATAAAAACACATTTAGACACTCCAATATATTTCTAAATCGGTACACAGTTTCGCCAGGTTCTGAGATCATACTTAACGAAAGAAAACTATGTAGTTAAAGTATTATTGGTTGCAGACCAACCGATATTCTAGCTGTACCAAAAACTCTAAAGTCAACAAATTATGAACGCGTAACAGATTGGAGCTACAAATACTCTTAAAAGCAACTAACAACGCACAATAAAGTACCTTTGATATGGGTGCCATTGTACAAAGGAGTACAATGTACTGGTCACGAGATTTACTGGAATTACTGTGATCACGGATACACAGCAGAGTGTTAAATAAGGAACTAATACTGCGGGACCATTCTATCGTATACCAAAACACCGCACCAAGAAAGATGCTCGAAAATGGAAAAGGAAACTTAATGCATTCTATTGGAAAAATATTCAGGAATGACAGTAAGCCAAAGGTTTACTACAATCTTATGCTCGCAAAAATACTCTTAGAGCTTTAGAAAATCAACCAGAAAAAAAAGCCAAATAAAAGATAAGTATTCATATCAGATGTAACTGTGTCCAAAGATATGTCATAAAAAAGGTGCTTCGATAATATCGAACGAAATATTAATAATACTAAAAAACATTTAGAAGAAAAATGGATATACGAAAAGCAAGAATATTATTATATACAGGGTGTTTCAAAAATGTATGTCATAAATTAAATCACGCATTCCGGAGACAAAAATTAATTAATTAAATCCAACTTACCTTAGTACAAAAGTGTATACAAAAAAAAAGTTACAGCCTTTTGAAGTTACAAAATAAAAATTGTTTTCTGCATTATCACCTAAACTACTTGACATTTTGTAATAAAAATGCGACACGCTGCTTTCTTGTTCTGAAAACATTTTTCATACAAAAGAAACAAGAAAATCTAATCGCACCGAAAAATTTTAAGGAGGGTGTGCAGCCCTAAATCCCCCCAAACTTTTGAGGGGTACGTTTAAATCAAATAAATTTTGTGGCATCATTAGTTACACACATTATTTTTAAAACTTTTTTGCCTGTTATCACTTTTTCGAAAGACTAGTTTTTTCCAAGTTGGAAATAAAATTAAAATTAGTTTCTACGGATACAATAATTACAAACAGTTCCATTAATAGTAGTCAATACTTTGAAGCTATCCTTTATTGTGTGAATAAGATTAATATTGAAAATTTTGATATTACAATGGCCTACACATTTCAGGAAATGGCAGATATGCATTTAACTTTAAGTAAGTCGGATCAGATTAAGTTATGATTTCAATAAACTATCGGGAATATCGTAGGTGAATATCAAGAAAATAGTGCAACAACCGCAAGGCGTTATGCAGTAAAATACCGCAATCTAAATACATCCGATATACCTACGGCTATTTCTGACCATTGATCGTCGTTTACGAGAAACGGGTACATTCCAACCGCAAGTTGCTGGCAATAGTGGTCGTCCAATAATGGATGCAACTGATGAATATATTTTAGAAATAATTGAAGACGTCCCTGGAACAAGTACAAGGGTAATAGCTGCTCAACTAAATGTTCATCATGTAAGGGTTTGGAGGAGTTTGAAGAATTAGCTGCTTAAACCCTATCACTTAACAACGGTTAAAGAGTTATTGGTTGAAGATTATCCTAAAAGGATTGGATTTTGCAATCTGCTCGTTATGATAACAAACCATCATAACGAGAGCATTTGGGTTGACGAAAATCCTCAGGCCAAAAAAACGACTCATCACCAAAGGACTTTCAAAGTTACTGTTTGGACAGGAATTGTGGATAACAATCTAATAGGCCCAGTATTTCTTCCTAACAATTTAAATGATGATAATTATTTGCAGTTCTTGACAAACGATATATGTATTTGGAAGTGAATATTGAAATAAGGCAAAATATGTGATTTCTACAAGATGGCGCTCCACCGCATTACAGTAATGAAGTCCGGGAATACCTTTGTAGGAAGTATCCTGGTCGGTGGATTGGAAGGGGTCGTGACACACCTATTTCTTAACCACCCAGAAGTCCAGGTCTTATGCAAACATGCATCGACGAACTTCCTATCCCATTCCCTACCCCTTACAGGGGGAGATTGGTTTTCTGCGGTTTCCCAATCTTATTAGTCAACGATACCTGTCCGTCCCTGAGAAAATAGCCGCAACTCTTTTCTCACCTGAATCGGCAGTAGCTGGAACCATCTATCGAACTCCGACGAGGCCTGGTCGTTAGCGAGAGCAAACAACTACAGAATTTTAGTGCAGTACACTAGTTCTGTATTGTTTGCGAGCGCATAAATGGCTGCAGGAACAATGGTTACTAGAGAACACAGTTTTAGTTGCTGCCAAGTCAGAACACACACATTTACACTACACACATATTCACACAACACACACTCACACAAATCCAGCAGTGAAAGAGGTCCACTTTCTGCTACTGATGCAACCTCATCACCGGGACCCCCGACCGCCTGCAGCCTCCGTTACTTTACACGGAATCTGTGGTCGGCCGGGGAAAATCTAAGTGATTAGAGGAGTCAGTAACAACGAAATTGTAGCATCCGTCACTGTTGGATTGACACACACACACACAATCACACTAAGCAAAATGCGGCAAGCCGACTCTCGAAAGCCGGGGCGCTTCCACTCACGAGCACACACGTCCACGAAATATCAGTGCAATACACTGGTTTCGGAGCCGGGTTAAGCTCAAGACTGCACAGGACTAATGGTCACTAGAGACCCGGCCTTGTCGCATCTAGCTCTAAAAACAGACACGATCATCTGGAAAGAACACCACTCCAACAAAGCCTTTCTCTATGATTCTCTGGTTCTCTGTTTGTCGACAAAAACTCCTCCAGGCGAAGAAAATGTGCAAATCCAACAATAGAAGAAGAAGTTGACCCGCCAGTGACTTTTGGGTATGTTTGCCTTTGTACAGTCATACATCAAATTCAACTAAAGCCTGAAGAGGGTCAACTGACCCTAACGGGTACATTCTCATCCTTTCGAAATAAAAAATTCTTACCCTTTCCTATCGAGAATGTACAATGATTGATTGATTGGTCCAGGTCTTAACCACATGGACTTTGGGGGTTTATGAGAGAGAAAATGTATTGTGATTTTTCAGCGCAATCGGTTTTCCTTATTAAAACAATACCGAATGTGTATTGAAGAAAATGGGGGTCATTTTGAACATTTATTGTAATATTATATTTATAGAGGTTGTAGACATTTTTTGTACTTGTTAATTCATTTAAGTCATTTATTTAGTTGCACGTAACTTTTTTAAAGGTTAATGAAAAGGGCCCTAACTCAATAAAAACCGTTTTTTTTTTGAAAAAAGTGATAATAGGCTTAAAATTTTTAAAAATAATGTGTTAAACTAATAATGCCACAAAATTCATTTGATTTGAACGTACTCCTTAAAAGTTTGGGGGGATTTAAGGTTGCACACCCCCCTTAAAATTTTTCTGTGCTCTTAGATTTTGTTGTTTCTTTTGTACGAAAAATGCTTTCAGAACAAGAAAGTAGCGTGTCCATTTTTATTACAAAATGTCAAGTAGTTTAGGAGATAATGCAAAAAACAATTTTTATTTTGTAACTTCCAAAGGCTGTAACTTTTTTTGTATACACTTTTGTACTAAAGTAAGTTGGATTCCGTCAATTAATTTTTGTCCCCGGAATGCATGATTTAATTTATGACATACCTTTTTAAAACACACACTACCTTTTTAAAACATCATGTATATTTAATAGACTAGTTTTGATTAAACGTTAGCTTCAGGATTCGGTTCTGTTTAATACTTACTCATGCAGACATACTTTGTCACTTTTTTAGTGAACGGGGTAGCAGTATTTACATTTCAATCACTCTCTGATAGAACATTTATCTGAGTGTAGATATTAAGCTAATCTACCCAACTTTTATTTTACTATCTCTCAAATATCGCCCAGAAATATTCATACCTAAGTAGGTAGCAAAAAGTTTTAGAACAGTTGGAGTTTGAAACGTCCTACATGATTTTTTTAAACACCAAGTATTAGAAATATTTAAAAAATGTGTATGTAGTGACACCTAACGTTGTAACACCATAAAACTGAACACACACGGTAACTAGTAGGAGAAATATACCACCATTTTTAAAATGAAATCTCATAGTTAAGACACATTAATCACAAGTATTAAGTAAAAAAATAAAAATCGCAAAAATTTTAATAAAATGAAAAAAAAATGCTCTCTTAATATCTATCCCGATAGTTTAAATAGTAGTACCGAAAAAAAGAAATAAAAAAATTTGGATTAAAAATGGCGACCAACATATCTCCTACGTACATTCAATACATTTAGAATAGGCTACGTTCTCTGTTTTAACTACTCCTTTCCTTGCTTGGCTTTAGCTGGCGGCTCGGAGATGGCGCCACTACCATCGTTCGAGCTTGACGCAGGCGGTGAAGTTCCATTTCCGTTTTGTTCGCCACCAGACGCGTCACCATCGGCACCGCCCCCTGATTTAGACGGCCGTTCCACCTTCGTCGGGCAATCGGCAATAAGATGGTCTTCGCTCTTGCAGTTGTGACAACGCTTTGGCTGTGGACCTAGTTGACATTTGGCTGCAATGTGATTGGCAAATTCTCCACAATTATAACATCTGAAATGTAAAAATAATAGGAATAAACTATGTTATGAAATTTCAATTGTCGTGATGACAGTTATAGAAGTAAAAAAAATTAAACGATGGTCAGGTACGAGAGTGACATCTGCTCCAGACCAAATTAATCAAAGAATACCATTAGGTTTAGTGTATTTATTAATAATGAAGGAATTCTCGTTTTGTACAGGATCTTGTTGATTTACTTATAATATAAAAAATAGATAATTCTAAAATCAACAAGAATATTTGTGGAGTGCAAAACCTCAAACAGCTCTCCTCTTCTATAAAGCTTACATAAGATCAATAATTGATTATGGTTCTACACTTTATGGAACGGCCAATAAAACAAATCTACGTAAGCTGGATATTATACAAAACAAATCACTCAGAATATGTCTGGGAGCAATGAAATCTACACCAGTTGAACCGTTAAGAGCTGAAGCAATCGAACCTCCATTAGAACTGAGAAGATCATTTTTATCTGAAAAAATGATTATTAAGTGGCTAAAGAAAAACTCACCTTTCATTAGCAGCATGTATAAATTAAACGAATACGACCTAACTAAGCCTTTTTGGATTCAGAAACACTCTCCTCCTATTTGTGATGGATTAAGAAACGTGACCTTAAAATCACAAACAAAGTTAGAGACCGACTACTTTGATCACTTTGTTTCCTGTGATGTGAATATACCCCTTTATTCGGAGTTAGCATCATTTAATAGTATAGTTATAAATCAAATTTTAGAGAAACATCCTAACTACGTCACTATATACACTGATGGATCAAAAAACACCGATGGTACAGGTTGCGCTTTCGTTATACCTAAACATATACAGAAAAAATATAAGTTAAACAAACACATCTATTTTCACAGCTGAGGCAATAGCAATTCTAAAAGCACTAGAATATGTTTATCAGGAAGAGGATCAGAACGCTATAATCTTTTCCGATTCACTTTCCGTTCTTAAAACTTTAAAATCAAACTCAAACACAACTAATGATATTATTTTTAGCATCCAAGCAATACTTAAACAATTACAAGATCAAAATAAATATATAAAATTCTTCTGGGTCAAAGCACACGCGGGAATAACAAACAATGAAATTGCAGATCAAATTGCCAAAGAAAGCATAGTAATGGGGGAACAAATAAATTACGAACTAACTACAGACGAACAAATAACCATAGCAACACAGAGAATGATGAAGAAATGGTCCTATTTATGGCAAGTGTACAGCTTTACAAATCCAACACCAGACTTGAAACCAAATTAAGGAGAAAACCTTGGTACAATGAGTACGATTACAGTCGAAAAAGTATAACTACTACTATTTATTTAAAATAAAAATACTTGAGAATGATCTTTGCGAAGCCTGTAATAAAATCGGTGATCTTGACCACATCTTTTTTGATTGTTTAAAATATAGAGCTCAGTCGAATGAGCTTTTCAGAAAACTTTTAAAATTAAACATTGAAAGCCCATTTAATATACTGCATCTTCTTGCCTTAGATAAAAAGAAATTTACGATTGTTTGCTGTCTTTCGTCAGAACAACGAATATACAAAATATAACCACCTTTATTAATTCCTTATGTCTTTCCTTAATGTATGCATACCTATCTGTCCGAGGCCTACTTTTTATCGTTTATAAAAATGCCCTGATCGGCCCCTGGGCGAGAAGTGTGTAATCCTTGTATCTGTTTTTAAAAAATTTGTGTCTGTCTGTGTGAGTATTTACAAAACCTTGATCTCCATAGTTATGTTCCCAGAAAATCGAAACTTTAAGCCACTAATATACAGTTGCACGATTGAAGAAAGCAGTTAACAAAGCAAAATCAAAAATAATATAATATCTGAGTACGAAACTCGTAAACCGGCGAATATCAAAGTGAATTGTTAGCGTTCTCAGACACTTGTTCGTCTTATATAAGAATACTGGGTAGAAAAAGAAAAAACAAACCTAGAAGAAACACAAATCGTTATGTGAGGCCACTATATATAAACTGCTATCGAGACTCGAACGAAACTTACCCCTTCTTGCGTTCTTGAACATTGAAGATGTATTTGATAATACCTACATCTGGTCGATACGCAGAGCACTGATGACGAAGAAAACTAATGAAACATCATACACAGATTCTTCTTCCTTTTTGTAGGTAGGCTTTAAAGCCTGTTTCTTCTTCAATACTATACTCTTAACTTGTTTAAATTGTCGCACCATCTTTTTCTTGGTCTGCCAATACTTCTTCGTCCATTTGGTGACTTATCTCGTACTATCCTATCCTCTATAATTCTACCAATGTGTTCGTTTCACTCCTGTTTCGGCTTTGTCACCCATCCATTTGTGTCTTCTATATTGCATGCTCTTCTTACGTTTTCGCTTCTCTCCCTATTCAACAGACTTTTCCCTGATATTCGTCTCAGTTGTTTCGAGTATTTTCATCTCAGTTGTTTCTAGTAGTCGTCTCGTTTTAGATATGTCAGGTCTTGTATCCGCCGTGTATGTTAATATAGGTCTAATTGCTGCTTTATAGACTCTTGTTTTTGTGTCATGTCTTAGATGTTTGTTCTTCCAGATTGTGTCATTAATATATTCTGCCGTTTGACTTACTTCTAAGCTTTGTTGTCGTACTTCTTCTTCAACACCTCCGTAATTAGTTATCTATCTATTCCCAGATATCTAAGCCTTGCTTCGTGCTTTATTATTTTCCCATTAATTTCTATTTTACATCGCAGTGGGTATGTACATGTGTCATAAATCTAGATTTTTCTGCTGATATTATCATATTGTATTTCTTGGCTGTTGTATTGAAGATATGTGAAGATATGAGACGAGCTCTTTGGAGCTCGTCTTCTGTCTCGGCGATTAATGCGGCGTCGTCTGCATAACATTCCCCATTCCTTTGTTCCCCATTCTGCAACAATGATCTTTACGTATTGCTTGTATTATTTCATCCATTATTATATTAAAGAGAAGTGAGCTTAACGAGTCACCCTGTCTAACCGCCCTTTGGTACTGGTATACACTGCGTTAGTTTTCCATTTATCTTTGCCTGTATTCGATTATTAAGTAGATGTTTTCGATGGTTTATATAATATTGATTGGTATGTTTCTTTTATAAAGTTGTTGTAGAACGTCTTCAAATTGGATACGATCGAAAGCATTTGTCAGGTTTATAATTGTACTCGATAGCCTTTTCTGTGATTTGTCTTAAAATAAATACGGCGTCTACGAAGGATCTTCCGACTCTAAATCCTTGTTTTCCATCTAATAAAGTTGTTAGTTTATAGATTTTTTTGTTTAGGACTTTTGTGATAAGCTTAAGTGCCTTGCTCCGAAGATTTATACCTCTATAATTGTTGGGGTCTTCTTTATCTCTTTTCTTGAACATCGGTATCATTGTGCTGTTTCTCCATGTGTTTGGTATCTTGCAGTGCAATATTAGTTTTTGTATAAGTTTTGTCATCTCTAGGGTTATACTTTCTCCTTCGTCTTTTAGAAGCTCGTTGGTTTTTCCGTCTGGTTCTGGTGACTATCTATTTTTGAGTGAGTTTATGACGTACGTACGTAGGTACGTTATGTTGATTATTATTTTCCTTTCCTTTAAACAGTTCCGTCAGTTATTTTTCCCATTCGTTTGCTGGTATGTTATTGTATTCCTTTAATTCTGCCATTTCTTTGGGTTGGTTTTTTATGAATTTCTATATTTGTTTTTGTGTACCGTAGAAGTCCCTTTCTATTCTTTTTGTAAACTGTTCCCAGTTTTTGTTCTTCTTACCAACTGCTTTGTTTCATTTCATATTCTTCTATAGGTGTCTCGGGATTCTGGGGTATTTGATGTTTTGTACTTCGTGTAGGCCTCCCGTTTCTCTTTACATTTCTCTTTTATTTCTTTTCCGAGCCATGGTGTATTGTTGTTGTTTCATACACAGGTGAATATCTAAAATGATTCGGTATAAAGTTATATCGCCGAAAGGAAGGATTAGATACTACCACCAACGCTGTGGTAGCGTAGTGATGATTTTATTTACGACCTTAGTAGCAAAATAATAACAATACAAGGTTTCACAGATAATATCAAGGATATTATTTTCCTTTTTTTAGAAAAATTCAACTAATTCTACAATTGTCAAGCATTTTGTATTCATCCTATTAAAATCCTAATTATGGAGTATTTCTGGTAGTAATTCTTTAAAATTATTGGCCATCTCTTTTATTTCTTCTTTAATTGTTACCATGTGAAAATTCCGATGTAGGTCTTTGTTGTGGATATACCATGCAGCTTTTACTATATTTCTTAATATTTGGTTTTGGATTCTTTCTAGTACAGCACTCTCTCATTTTTTCTCTTTAAGATACTCCCATTAGAACTTCCCCATATTTGTAGACCATAGGACCATTATATTGTGAGTTTCTTCCTAATAAGCAATATAGCTTTCTATATTCCAGTTCCAGTTCTTTTCTTTTTAATATATTCCTGCCATTTTAATTTGCTACCCAAATGTAGTCCTAGGTATCCAACTGTTTTCTTGTAAGGGACAATTTTATCGTGTCCTATAACTGGATGACTATTTACTTTTATGTGTCATTTGTTATGGTTATGGTTAACATTTATTTTTGAAAGAATCTTGCTGGCTTTTTAAATGAATCTTCAAACATCGGTGTACAGTATTGTTTTTAAATGTGGTCGATTTAGCGTTTTCCGTAACAGTAATGCCACAATTATATGTATAATACACTGTTAGTCCGATAACACCATATTCCTGTGGAATTCCAGCTTTGATCCGTCCTAGTTCTGAATATTCGCGTTTTCTTTTTATTTTAAACATTCTGTTGTTAGGAAAATAGATTAGCATACTTTATTTTGTTTAAGAGATCACTTTATAATATTCATTATGTAGTGTACTTGATCTAGTCTTGAAGGATTAAACTGAATTCTAAACAACAGAGAGAAATAATATATTTTTGGTCAAGATTATTAGTTGTATCTTCTGTAAAGGTATGGAGGTAATTGGTAGCAATAATGTTGGTCTATATGATTTTACTTTATTTGTCCCTTTTCCCGTGTGTACATCGCTATTAACTTAGCTGTTTTTCACGTTTTTGGTACGTATAGTAACCGAAACATTCTCTCAGTTTGATAGATGTTCGTTTTGTCAAGTGAGTCATTAGTACTAGCTATATCTCGATTTTTTGGTTGTGTATCTCTTGTTGATGTTGCAAGAGGTAATTTGAATCCATTGTAATACTTTTAGCTCGTTTGCCATTCTTTTTTTTTGCCAATTTTTTGAATTCTTCTTGCTTTTTCATACGTTCTATTAATAAGTATCTATAACGAAATGGTGTTTTATATCGAATGGAGGTCATTCCGCACTACTTGTTATGGTTCTCTACTGACAAATGTTTTGTATTTTATCTACCTCTCTTGGCTAGTTTTTTGTAGGGCTTTCGATATCTATTCCGTTATTTTGTGATGTGGTTGTATGCTTCTGTTTATCGCTTAAGAACTGTACCATTAGTGCAACCTATGTAATTAGCTGAGTGGATCCTACGACAGTTTACACATTTAGGTTAATTACTTCGCGTCTGTAAATCCTTTTAAGCTATTAGGAACACATGTATTAATAATATTACCAACAGTATTATAACTATTCTAAGATTCAAAGATAACCGATTAGTTGTAAACACCAGTGACATGAACGACGGTAACATATCTATGCCGGTCTGGCACTGTCAATTTGGGATATCCGGTACACCACACAGGATAGACTGGGTGATAAAATTTTCATCCTCGACAAGGCACGTCCCAATAGCTAATAAGCAATGTCCTATGGGTATGGAAATGGACCTAGTCCAAAGATCCGGTGTGAATAAACGATATAGCAAATAAATGCACATAATTGGTCAATCAGCAAATCACGATCAATCGCCTGCACAGATGTGTACACCATTATCACCATTTTATAGAGATTAAAAGATTATCATCTTTTGATTTTTAGAATTACGTATTTAATGTCTTTTTTAACCAGCCTTGATGTAATAAATAGTTACACAAACCCATTTTTTATACAATGAGATCCAAACGTAACTTTCCTAAAAATCAACATGGTCATGGAAACAAATAATTTATTTATTAACTAAGACCAAATATAATTCACATTTCATCCTTGAATAAACAATTAAATTCAGTCAATGCTTCAGTTTTCGACAACATCCAATAGTGTTCAGGTTAAAATATTTGCACTGTTAGCTTGTGCCCATGAAAATCGTTACACTGAAGGAGAACCTTCTGTCAATGTTGCTAACGAATTTTAACAGACAACAGTTAAAGAGAGTCAGAGAAAATGGTAACTGGATACTGTCAACTAAGGAAACACCTAATATGCAACATAAGTAGGAAAAATAAACACAGATTAAAATACAGGAAAGACAGTGAAATAAATTGCAGAAAAGGTCAGAATCTAAGCTGTGAATTTGAAATACTTAGTGACGTACAGCGAGTATATACTAGTAAAGTAAGTTTGCAACCAAAACAATTCCTGAAACTCCTGTGAAGAATTTTGATCAAAGCTTCTATCAAGAACTTGGGACTTTTTGGTGAAATTTAATTAAAATACGTTTTTAATAGTATTAGATGTAAGAAGAAACTTTAGCCTAAAGAGAGAATCCTGAGCAAAGTGAAAAAAGAGAGAAGAAAAGAAACGCGTAAGCCAATTTTAAAAATATTATGAGTAATAAATTTATAGATAATATACATTCTTAGTTATTATTGTATTGGTTTAAAAAAATATTTCATCTGTGAACGCTGGACTGATACGCATATTAGACCATATTATGTATACCTTCCGGAATCTTATATAAGTCATCGCCAGCCCATACTTTCTCACAAGCTTTTGGTATCGTTTAAATGTATATATCAAGAGCCCGGCTTTAGTTTTATTTTTAATCATAAGTTTTATTTTATAGAATGCAATAAACATAAAATATTCATTCCCGTCAACGTATTATCTTTTATTTCATGTTGAATAGAGTTGATAAAAAGTTTAGAGCATACCTTATTTTTCTAAACCGTTTTTTCGACACAGGTCTTCTGTGAGAGCCTCTACAATCTACATTTTGTGGTCCTGTGACTTTTGTAGCTTCCAATCCTTTGTCTGATATTTGACATTCGAATTCGACCTCCTCTTCATCACCTAGGGAACGAAAACCGTTCATCTGTATAACACTCTGAAAGAAAAAAAAATACATCGTTTAAAAACAGTTTACTATTGTTTTAATCATAATATTTTGAATTATTTTATTATAATTTATTGCCATACGAAATTCTCAAACTGTAAAGAAAGAATTTAAAAAGGTTAGTCCAGTGGTCTTTCTCTTGTAGGACTGTAATAGCTTAGCTGGAGTTGACCCGGAGAAGAGATTCGATTATTCGTCAATTTTGTTTATCATCATCAGTAGCATTACAGCTCGTTATGAGCCAAAGCCTTCTTCAGAACAATCTTCCATTCGTCCCTGTCTCTGGCAACTCTTCTCCATGCTTTAACTACGATGGATTTTAGATCATCCTCTATGTTATCTTGATACCTAAGTTTTGGTTTTCATCTGGCTCGTCTTCCCACTGGTCCCCTTCGGTCGAAAATTTTCTGCTTGCATCTTCATCTCGCCTAATTATATGTCCTATCCAACAAAGGCGTGCTAGTTTAATACATTTTGCAACGTCAGGTTGCAAAACGACCCAAAACTTCTGTATAACTGAAAGTTGTAGCGCCTACGCCACAAACCCTGTTATTGGACTTCTCCATATATTTTCCTTAGAATTTTTCTCTCGAAACGTTTAAGCAACTCTTCTTAATGGTCGAAATGCTTCGATCAGAGATTCTGTGGACATAGCAATAATGTCTATGTCATCTGCATATCCGATCACTTGTACAGATTTATTAAAGATGGTACCATTCGTATTAATATGGCAGTCTCAAATTATTTTTTCTAGTGCAAGGTTAAATAAGAGACACGACAGTCCATCTCCCTGTCTCAGTCCATTTTTACAATGGAAGGGTCTGGAAAAGTCGTTTTGTATTCTGACTACACTCTCTACAGCTATGAGTGTAAGTTCCGACAATTTTGTTATTTCATGTTTTTATGACACGATGTTCTTCTTCCAGGAGCGTTCTTCCGAATATTTTCCTTTTATCATTGGATATAACAAGCTGTACGTTTCCGGAGCCCCAATAAAAACACAAAATTTATTTCGTTGTTCAATCAACATGTTTCATTATTTTCATTCCTTTAATATGTAATATTCTTCTGTAGAAATGTGTTTTAAGCACGGCATCTGTTGTGGTTCATGCTTCTCATCCATGGATCAGCACGGAGACACACAGCCCTTTTGATGTATTTCGTTATTCGGTTCCATATTTATAACGTGCACACACAAAACTCTCTTGTACTTAAAGAAGTACAAGAGAAGTTTTAGAGAATAAAAATAATTAAGACAGTAACTATGTTCTTTCTTGGGCAATGCGAAAATGAATTTCTGAGGGTGGGTCCAAATCGCTATAAATTTTTGCAGCCCAGGTACTCTTTAAATTTCCAATAGCACTTGCTAATATTGGTAACTGGAGCAGACATAGGGTACGGACATACAGTATTGTGCGAATTAATGGAATCATAGGCTGTTTTAATGAAAAAACAGTTTATTTAGTAAAAAATTATATTTTGACAAAACTATAAAGGTAAACTTACATCATTCAGTAGGAAATATGTCCTCCTTTGGCAGCAATTACTGCTTTTACCCGTTTTGGCATAGATTCTATGAGTTTCTGGCAGTTGTCAAATATCCTTTCATCTCGATACCAAACCTGAATTGGCACTTCTATAATTTTTGTTTTAGTGGTACAGTCGATTTTTTGCAGTCTAGCTTTGCAAATGGCCCATAAATTTTCAATGGGGTTGAGGTCGGGCGAATTACCGGGCCAATCTAAAACATTAATCTTCTTATTTTTGAAAAATGCCATAATTCCTTTGATTTGTGACAGGGAGCAGAGTCCTGTTGAAGAATCGCTCCTCCTTGGGGTTGACATTTTTGGAGTTGTTTGTCCAAATACTTTTCCAACATGGATTTGTATTTTTGGCTGTTCATCATGCCTTCAATTGGCACGAAAGATCCAACCCCCATGTATGAAAAACATCGCCAAAACATTTTCTTGTGAATATTGAAAAAATTTAAAAAAATTCACAGTGTCCATTAGTTCGCACAATACTGTACCAAAGATACGCGGATGTGTGCGAGGGAGGTCGCGGTCGATACATTGATGTCAAAACAAACCTTTATTTTCTTATGAGACCGCCCATACTATGGATGTTTCATCCGTTCACCTTCGCGACATCATCGCGGTTTACAGCGATGTCGATCTCAGAAGAAAATAGTTTTTTTATATCGCGATGGAACTGTTGATCGCGTGGTAAATTACAAGTTTATTGATGGTTTTGATACCCAGTGACATTCCACGAGAAACAGATGATATGATAAATATACTGAAATGTATCGATATTCTTTTTCATAAAAGAATAAAATCTGTCTGAGTGGTGTTTTTAAGCTCTTTAAATAGGTCATGGTATTCTCCTAAATACTGGCGTCTTTTATTTATAGGAGAGCCGAATGCTGGCGATTTAAAGAATTACAAATGATCCACTACTTTTTACTTGAAGACATACATTCACCGTCGTCACTAGTGTTGCGGTTCACCAACTGACTGTAATATCTACCGCACTATAGCCCTAATCTCCCACGTAAGTAAAGTTCTACTAACTATAATTAACGAGAGATTAAAATCAATGCTTCTACCACAGATCCCACAAGAACAATGTGGACTTGTCTCTGGAAGAGGCACACGAGAACAAATTCTCAATCTCAGACAAACTATAGAAAAATCTAGAGAATTTTATCTAGACACATATTTGTGCTTCGTCGACTACTCGAAAGCGTTCGATAATGTAAAGTGGCATAAAATTTGAGGAATACTGAGAGAAATGGGTACCCCGAACATCTAATATACCTACTGAAGCAACTGTAATGACTATAGAGATTACGGAGCAGAAGAGCAAGCTGGTTTTAGAGCTGGGCGATCCACAGTAGACCAGCTGTACTCTGTTACGCAAGTTATTGAGAAAAAAAAAACAGCCTTTAACAAACAAGTTCACCTGGTGTACGTAGACTTACAAAAAGCATATAACAGTGAACATTAAGCATGGTCTTATCAGGCAGTCCAAAATCTGTATAATGGAACGACTGCAAAAATTAAAACTGGATCAAGGATATCTGAAGGATTTAAGGTCACGAAAGGACTAAAGCAGGGTTGCTGTATTTCGCCTACCCTTTTCAAAATTTATCTGGAACAAGCACTGAAGCTATGGAAAAGAAAATGTAATGGCACGGGAATCCCTCTCAATGACGAAACTACACTGTGCACCTTATGTTTCGCTGATGACCAAATACTGATTGCCCAGGATCATGACGACTTGAGTTACATGAATCGAAAGCTAATAGAAGAATATAACAAATAGGGCCTCGAAGTCAACATTAAGAAAACTGAAGCCATGTGTATTGGAGGGACAAAACAATCCATTATATTAGACGATGGGGTAGAAATTAGAAACTGTGATGAATACAAGTACTTGGGTATGAAGATAACTCAAGATGGAACACTCGATGCTGCTATAAAAGACATAAACATACAGGGTAGAAAAGCCATATCCATGATGAACGGCATTCTATGGGACCAAACAATATCTAAAGCGAACAAACAACTCATATACAACACCATACTTAAAAGTGTAATCACATATGGCAGTGAAGTTTGGCCAATGAAACAAAGAACAGAGAAACTGTTACTAGCAACAGAAATGGACTTCTGGAGAAGAGCAGCAGGCAAATCAAGAAGAGATCGGATACCAAATGAGAGAATACGAGAAATGATGGGAGTCAAGCATACAATAGTTGATGACATAAAAACAAAACAGTTAATATGGTACGGAAACGTACAGAGAATGAGAGATGAGAGGATTCCAAAACAGATTTTGACGTGGACACCACAAGGGAGAAGGAAAAGAGGAAGACCAAGAGGAAGCTGGAGAGAGGGAATTGAAAAAGAACTAGAGGAAAGAGAAATCCCTCCAGGCCTATGGTTGAATAGAGAAGAATGGCGGTTAGGAGTCGGAAGGCGTCGGAGAACGCTGTAAACCGATAGTAGTAGTCGTAGCAACTGTATATCAACAACACAGCAAACGTAAGAGTCAACAACATATACTCCTATAATTTTCAACTAAAAGCCAACACATCATGCGCATTGTATTCGACGGATAGTAAGGAGGAATATCAGTCGGAGGCCAAAAAATCAGCAACTTCGCTATACTGACGAGACTTTAGTACCAGCATCATCAACAAATGACCTTGAATACACCATGAACAGACTAGATATTATTAGTCGTGAATATGGACTTAAAATTAATGTACAGAAGACTAAGGTAATGATAATTGATTGAATTAGTAATAATATGTAGATATTTGAATATAATATATAGATAATCAATTACTTAGGTTCTATTATCACAAACAATGGTGGATGTGAAGAAGAGATACGTCGACGCATTACAATGGCCAGATCAGCAACGGTCAAACTTAGTAAAATCTGGAAAGATATGGACATAACCAGGAACACGAAACTGCATCCAGTACGGACTCTTATCTTTCCTATCGCTACCTATGCATCAGAAATTTGGACCATTAAAAAGTCCGACTCACGACGCATAATGGCCTTTGAAATGTAGGTATATTGTAGAATGATGCGCATACCCTGGACAGCACATTGTACAAATGTCTCAATATTGATAGAACTCGACATCAGTACTAGGTTTACCACAATCATCAACCAAAATATATTGAGGTACTTTGGACACATTACCAGACGAATGAAAGGCATGAGAGGTTGGTGGTTGAAGGCAAGGTAGATGGTAAAAGAATTCAAGGAAGATCGCCACTCCGATGATCAGACCAAATAAAGTGCGCTAACGGTTACTCTTTGTCTGAGGCAGCACACAGTGCTCAGAAGAAAGAAGTATTGATAACAACCAATTCAAATACCATAACGTCAGCACATCCTTACTAAGGATAAAGTATAGAGGAGAAGGAGGAGGCATTAGTTTTAGCACGCAAGTCT